TGTTTGTTTTTAGATGTTTCACCTAGCTATCTTCCAAATATCGGCCTTTTATATTAAAAAATTTCGACCAGTGTAACTTTGTTGTTAGACTGTATATCTCAAATTTTCTTTATTGTCCCAACTTTAAATCCATATTTCATTTCAAAGTATAACAAATATATCGACTTTATGTGTTTTTCTAATTTCAAGCCTTACCTACTTGGTATGCAAATCCTTAAAAACCTTTTAAATTTTTGACGATCGAGGCCATGTTCCCAAATAAGAAATAAATGCCTTTCTATATAGCCACATGTTTGTTGTATTCATATCACAGAGTCACCAAATATAGAAGTAGTAAGCAATACTGATCTTTTAACAGAGTAGCCAAATCTCTACTTTTTGTCAAAAATTGGTTTTGGGAGTGTCAAAATGGTGAAGAAGATTGTGGTTCTGCGAGTTTCCAATTAAAGAGAGTTTTTTTAAGAGTTTGTCATATCTTTCTGTCTCTAAACTTTTTAAGTTTTTTTCTTTTCATCTTACTATTCCTAGAGACTCCTCTGGTTTGGATGCTAAATGCAAAATAGAGTTCACCTGAGAAAGCAAGAAAATAAGACTTGACCCCTTTACAAACTATTCAAAATGCCTGCTCTTTGGTGTGTTATGTTTAAAGACTTTGTTAACAATAGTTCGTATCAAGAAAACTTCAAGTTGTTGTTAACTTCTGGCCTTGAGTCTTCAACTTGCTTTTGGTGCTAGTTGGTTCAAGTGATTTTTTATTTTTTATTTTATTTATTATTATTTTTATTTATAGGAATATTATTATAGTGCTATGGTGCTGTGGCATTACCCTATAGTACCGCAGTGCTATCCCGTTTATTAAATAAAAAAATAGTGTTGAAATAAACATAGTGCCATGACGCTACTCTTACATAATTCATTAAATACGTAGTCGTTATGTTGGATAACATATTTTGATCAGACATATAAGAAATTTTTCCTTACAATTGATCTATCGTTCGCTTTATCATTCTACACTAATCTATCGTTCTCCCGTTCTACACTAATCTATCGATTTATCGTTCTCCCATTCTACACTAATCTATTGATCTATCGATCTATCATTCTACACTATCATTTTATACTTAATTCTTGCCTTCTTACTTTTTGCACAACTAGTTCTTCATCGTGTTACTTGATTTGCCTTATTTATATATGGCTTTTTGTCTTGACGCTTGGTCTTCGTCCTACTTATAACTGAATAATGGAAGAATTTGAAGAATTTACTGTTAGTAATGATGCGCTTTATGATTTTTCTGTTACTAATGACACATCATACGAAAATATTCAGGGTGTAAATGATATCCTATATAATAAGCAAAGTCAATTTGATGTTAGCGCTGTTTTATATATGAATGATCAAACTGAATATGAAAATAACGATATGATAAATTGTGAAGGTGCTCAACATGATATGATAAATTGTGAAGGTGCTCAACATGATATGATGAATTGTGAAGGTACTCAACATGATATGATGAATTGTGAAGGTGTTCAATCTGATATGGTAGATGAATGGTGTCAATTGATAAATAAAGGTACTCAAGGTGAAGAATTGCGAGCAAATACGATATTCCGTAACTGAGATCATGCAATAAAAGAAATTGAAAAGTATGGAAGTAAACAAGGGTTTAAGACTCGTTGTTATTGTGTTGAAAAATCAAATGGTACAATCAAAAGACGCACATTAGTTTGTGAACACTATGGGCAGCCTGAGTCAACAAAAAGTAAGGATACAGAGAAAGAAACGACTTCTAAACGTATTGGATGCATATGGCAGATAAATCTTTCTTGTCTAGAAAAAAACAACCCTTACAAGATTGTATATGTCACAAAATTAATTGATGAGCATAAGAACCATAGTCTTGATCGAGCACGTTACCAGTTCCGGGAAAATTTGAAGTTTACAGTGAATATGGCTAAGGAGGTTGAATTTCTTGTAACAAAAATGAATTGTAGTCCTTAACAAATTCGCAAAGCTCTTGAGAAAAAATATTCTGTAAAGATTTACATGCCAGTGCTACATCGGATAATTCAACGGTTTCGTCCAAAATCTCATGACCAGACAAATGATGCTAGTCGTTTGTATGAAGAATTGTTAAAAAAAAAAGAAATAGACCCCCAATGGTATGTTGAAGTAGATTGGGACCATAATAGTAAATGTCTTCGTCGATTGTTCTACATGTCTTCTGATCAAATTGAACAGTAGTTAAAGTATGGTGATGTAATTTTAAACGATAATACTGCAGCTACAAACCATTATGAAATGGCACTGTCGCTTTTTTTGGTGGTTGATAATTATTTGTTTTCTCGATTGGTGGCTCAAGCATTAACAAATAATGAAACAAAAGAGGCACACAGTTGGATATTGCGACAAATTAAGAAGGTGACATCTGAAGCTATTCCACATGTCATTTTTACCATGCTGATCCTGCTTTGACTGCTGCAATACGTGATGAATTTTTAATGACAAATACTCTTCATTGCATGTTTTATATCGCTCAAAATCTTCCTCTTAATCTGAAAAGTAGTCTCAAAGACCGTTATGATGAGTTTATTAAAGATTTTTTTGAAGTACAGCAAAGTATTTTCATGACAATATTCAAATACAAATGGAAATATTTAATTGAAAAATATGACAATGAAAATATCTACAACGGGTGCTTTATGTTAACAAGGAATCATGGGCAAAAGCATTTATACTTAAATTATTTATTGCAGGGATGTCGTCAACTTCTCAGGTTGAGAGTTACAATTCTAAGATCAAAAGGTTAATATTTAATTCAAATACAACACTATTAGAACTTGCCGAAAAATTATCATTATACGTTCTTAAAGAGGATAAGAAAACCAAATATACTTTATTTCGTGCATCAATTCCCAAAGCTGTTTTAGTCACGACCACTGATACTATTCTTCCAAATATTTGTAATATGTTACACAAATATCTTACGATAGAGATGTTGAAGATTCAGGAAGATCAAATAAAACAGGCACTTCAGTATCATGCTGTGATGGTATCAAAAACTGAACTGAGAAGATATCTTAAGGTAATTAAGGATGTAATTGTTTTACAAGATGAAACCTGATATATGTGTAAAAAGGGGTAATATTAATGCAGTATGTAGAATGAACGAACCCGGCCTTGACGAACTTCAAAAGAAAATTTTAACAATAGTCGTTGATCATTTAATTTCTCATTAAAATTTCCTTTTTTGAATTCTACCAACAATGTATTTCTGTCATTAATGTTTAAATGTCACTGTAAATTT